GATGATGGAATTTAAATGGAAATCAATATTACAACACATGGAGGTATAGCCTTTTTATACAACTCCATTTATTTTATTTTATTTTTTGATAAATAATATACAACTCCATTTGAATGATAATACTTTGGTTGTAATAACTAGACACTCTTGGGCTTTATATGTACACTTATGTACAGTCAGATGACCACATGATTGTTTCCATAATTCTGTGGTTTCTATTTCTAGTGCATTATCGTTTCTAGTTTGTTTAGGTAAGGTCATCCCAAAAAACAAAGATATATGTGTAGGTACATATCTAATGAGGTGATTCTTATTTACATCTCTAGTTTTGTTAGACTTTACTTCCAGTTCTGTTGGATCTAAATCTGAATTCACACCATAAAGAGTACAATTAAATAATTAAATCTTAGGAGTTTTATCCATGTTAAAGTTGATTCTAAGTATTAATTATGATTATCTTTCGAAAGCACCTTTGGAGCTTCAATTAGCACCCTCAACAAAATGAAGTGCTTAATTCTATTAGGATTCAATGTCTTCTAGTTGAATTTAAGTTAAGAGAAATGAAAAATATACAAAGTGCTACATCCACTTCTATATTAGTTTGATTATATACTCTTTTTCAAAAAAATTTGTGAAAAACCTAGAAATCTCCTAGATGTTGATTTGTGATTATGTATCAATTTTAAGCAGTAAACAACAATCCCAATCAAACAATCAAGACAAATCGACACAACGATTTTACGTGAAAAAACCACAATTGGAGCACCTCCAATTGTGATAAAAAAACCACGGGCAACAGCCACAAAACAATCCACTAAGAAGATATAAAGGAATTACACAGGTATACTCTCAATTACCTAGCGAGTCCACGCCCGAATTGAACCAACCTCTCTGTGTCTCTTCCAACCCCGTCTTCACCTCGGAATTGTCTTGACGATGAGCCACTCCAGAATCCACCAAAGTTTCAGGCTCGAATTCTTCAGAATCCACCGAAGAACAACTCTGTCTTTTGTATAGAATGAATAAACAAACCTTTGATGTATTCTTCTTAACCCATGAGTTGAATACTCAATTAAACATCAAAGAAAAACAGCAAAATATCCCAAGATATAAACCTTACTATCCAAGAAGAAGATCTGGAGGAGTAATCCTATATTTGGAGCAACTTGCGAATTTATAGAATCTGAAATCGCGAGGTCCGCTCGAGCGTGGGAATGGACGCTCGAGCAGGGACACTATATGGCGTGTTCCGCACTAGGGTGTACGCCCGAGCGGGGAAATGGATGCTCGAGCGTGAAAACACGGATCACAGTATATTTGCAGACTCACCAAACTTCTGGAACTCAGCATTCTTCGCTCGAGCGGGGGAATGTCTGCTCGAGCAGACAAGCAACTTTGAATGCACTTTTGCATTTTGCTTCGGGGGCGAGCAGCTCGACCACAATTGAAAGGAGTTTTGTTAAACGGGATTGCCAAGAATAAAAACCTAACAATTTGTATTGTTGCTTTCATCAGCAAGGACGTTAGTAGTTCTGCCAAAACCCATTTCACAGTCACTAAACATTCCTACATCATAATTTTTAATATAAAGTCACACAAAGACCAGACTAGAGATACGTTGTCCTGCAAACCAAACAAGTCAAGTGTTAGTTCAACTTTTTGTAACAGAGTGAGTTAGGTAGATATTTTTGTTAGATATTTTGTAAACATGTGGAGTGTATATAACGTACTGTATCTCCGAGTTTTCAATCTAATGAAAACCATTCAGTTTCAATAACTTCTTCATGTGTAACATTAAGAGAGGTAGTTATAGCATGGCTAATCTGCATATATCCATCAGGGATGAATTGATAGATTAAAAACTCAATATCCACAAATAACTTAGAGAGAATGATATATATACTCAAGGCAGCTCAAGTGGCAAATCAAGACAAATCCAAAATGGAGTGTACTGTTAGATAATCATCAAGTTCACAAAAATAGGATTCTTCTCCATATTAGTTCTAAGAATCAACCATTGCGGAGCCAAAAACGTCCATTAAACAATTCACCACCAATATCAACCTTCAATTATACATAATGTACACTGATAAACTTGTGTAATACACAAAACTGGATCAAGTAATTTATAGTTTCCAAATTACAAATACCATAATGAAAGCAAAAACCACAATAGTTAATTTTTACAAAAATCTAATAAATGACCGCTTGCATCACTAATACTAAAATTCCATAAATGCTAATAAGGTTAAACAATTGATTCCATAAATCATAAATGTATAATATTTCCCTTCACTAAAATTTTGAACAAATTTAATTCAGATATATCCTTTGAACATAAGGTTTGTTTAGTTAATTTAGTTGAAGAAAACAACACCCACTGTGCTTGTTGACAATTCCTTTTTAATGCCACAAGTTCTCCTCTTTTTCCCCCCTTTTTTTAAATATAAGTACAAATCCTCTCCTAAACTGTCACATAATGCCATAATCATCTCCTTGGACATTGGATAATAGTGATGTATAAGGTAGGTAACACGTGAACATCTACAAAAGAATTCAAAGAAAGAAGAAAATGAAAAAGAATAACTAAAATATTAGAAGGAAAAAAAGGGTAACATGATTATATATTAATCTCTATGCTTTATGAAATTAGTTCATATTTTTTAGTGTACAAGATTGACCTCATTTAAAATAAAATTTTCAAAAAGTCTGAATAATAATTTCAGATTTACAAATTTCTAGTGGGGTCACTTGACCCAACTTTGTTATACATGGCTCGGCCCCTAAGAATAAGGCAATACACCAACAGCTACTAAAAGAATACAAAAGGGACAAATTTCCCAAATTAAAGACGGACAATAGGAAAACATGGCTCGGCCCCTAAGAATAAGGCAATACACCAACAGCTACTAAAAGAATACAAAAGGGACAAATTTCCCAAATTAATTACAGACAATAGGAAACTATTCCTCCAATTGTAATAAGTTAACATAGTGCACATAGAAGACACGAGGGATGTTGCATGTGCAGTTACACCCAATTTTAATAGGTACCACATGCCATTTGTTTGGAACCAAATAAGATGAAAAACGTAGACAACACATGAATGAAAAACCTTTTGACATGGATTTATCTTTAATATATATGAGGAACAAATTTTTTTTTTTGTTTCCATTGAAATGGCTGAAATGTTGCCATTTCCCAAGAGACCGAAACGAAACACTAATGGAATAATAAAATTCTAGTGTTTTCATTGAAACACATCAAAACATAGTGAAACACACCGAAACATAGTGTGATATACAGAAAGAGTAAATTGTATCTATACAAATTTAGAAATTTTCATAAACATTTATTACTGCTGCTTAAGTAAATTTTTAGACCTTATTGGAAACTTTTGTTTTATAAAATTGAGTTATTTAACAATACTTAATAATTTTTAGTTCATAGTAACATTAGTTTTTTAATTCTTTTACGTGAATGACTATATGAATCTCAATTTGTTTAATTAATCAATTATTAGGCTTTTATACATTTAGATATATTTCAATTTATATTTTCAAGCATTTCTATTTTATCTTTATTTCATAAAATATTTCCGAGATGTTTTTGTTTCTGTACTATTTGAAGCAACACACTGAAACGAAATTTTGATCTTTGTATATATATATATATTATTATTTGAAATCCAAAGACCAGGAATCATCAATTCGTTGATTCTTTGAGCACACATGCGAAAAAAAAGCACAGGCTTCCACACACAAATGCAGTACACATAATATCACACAAATTCAATTACAATATTTTTACGTTGTGTTAAACATCCACTGGTTCTAAATTGCTTAGGGAGATTAAGCATATGAAATACAAAACACACTAACAATATACAAAAAATTAACAAATTGTATGTAATGTCCCCATTAAAAACTTTGATGTGTAAGAATACACTTAATATTAAAATATCAATTAAAGCTAACAAGGCAGCAAAGATTAATCAAATAATGTTGATTCACCCTCTAAGCAAAATGGGTAGCATTTTCCTACTAATTTTCAAGGAGTAAAACAACATGAAGATACTTGACTTGTACAATTTAATAAATGACTTCATTCAACTTTTTACAACATACTAGTTATCCAGTAACCAAAATTCAAATTATAATATAGTCAAGGACACATCATATAAATGCATGTACATTTAAGCTGATGAATAATCAGTATTGATGATCTGCGAGAGAGAGTTAGTTATCAAAAGAAAAATAGCAAATTGGGGAATCACTATAACAACCTATATATATGAATTGCCACCTCATACAACATACTACCCAAAAATTTTACAAACAAAAATAGTGGGGGAAGCCAAGCTCACTACATTTTCACTATATGCAACTATAGATAAATAAAAAATCACTCAACATACCTCCATGAAATTGTGAAACTATGAATGTTTTAAACATAAGCTTTCCCAAAGCTATATTGCCCCTAAACAAAATGAAAGGCCATATGATGCAAGTTAGGTAAAGATATTACAAAAGAAAACACCAAAACGGTTTCAACTCAAGAAAATTCTTACCAGAATTGGTCAAAGTGTACATGGGGATAGCGAACAATCACTGGATGGACAGGATATCCAGGGACAAATGCACCAAGTTGGAAAGAAATGAGAACTCTTCCATTTGTTGTGGTTGCCTCGGAAATAAAAGCAGACGAGGAAATCTATCGGAAGAAGCCTTTCTTTGTATTCAAATCCTTGAAAGCACATTTCTGTATCAAATAATCCCTCAGATATTGATAAAACTTAATACTCTAAATTTTTTTCATACAAAAAATGTAACAACTCCAGGTATACAATTAAAATTGCTTTTAGTCTCCATATTTATTAAACAACTCACAAAAATGAAATTTGGACACCTGATATGTGTATATTTGTTTGTAGCTTTTTAAGTTAGCTCTTACAACAGCAAAAAATTTGTTTAATTTTTCTAAGCATTTGCAAACTACTTACATCATAGCATTTCATTCTCTTTCTTCCTTTTTTTTTTTTAACATCACCCTCATTTGCCTGGCCAAAAAATTCTCCCTTCAACAAGAATTTGTACCAGCTTAATCACTTTCAATCCGACTTTTCCCGTTCACTATATAGGCAACAACTTAACAAATACAAAAACATTTTATTAATGACTAGCCCAGAAAACCCAAAAACTAACGTTTGGTTTTCATAATCAATTTTGAAAGATAATTTTTTTAAAATTTGTTTGGCTGTATATTCTAAAAATAGTTTTCAGAAATTTAAAAATCCAAAACTCATTTAGTTTTCAGAATCTAAAATAATTTTTACAAATCTGTTTGGTTTTGGAGTTTTCAAAAATAATTTTTAAGTTTCAATCTGTATTTTATTATTTTTAGTGAACTTTTTAAGTATTTAATCAAGGTTTTTCAAGTTTTTAGATCCACTCAATCTAAATACACCTAAAACGTATAAAATTTATGAAAAAAAGCGTTTAAAAAATCACTAAATATTAATAAATATACAAATTTAATACATTTTTGTATGTATTTTGTATTTATTAATTTTTTTTAAAGATTTTTTAATTTTTTTTAAGTATATGTAGATTAGATGCATCTAAAAAATAAAAAAAATAAAACAAATTAGCCAATATATTAAAAAGATACGAATTAAAAATTTTAAAACTATTTTTGAAAACTCCAAAACCAAACAAAATTTTAAAAATTATTCGCTCATTCCATAATGGTCATTCGAATTTAAATTTAACATATTTTTTTCATTATTTTCAAAAATATTTTTTATTAATTGAAAATACAAATTCATTTTATTTTAAATTTTTATATGAATTTGCAAATAACTTGCTCATCCAAAAAAATCCAATTAACTTGAAAATATGATGTACTGCATACTTAAGCTATTCCTCATTCAAAAAAATTTGAAAATCAATAAGCAAAAAGACATTAAAAATTAGGAATGTTAGAAATCTTTACTATCAATTAGATTGTTTGATTAAGTTTTTTAAAATCTGTAAAAGTTAAAAAAAAAAAAATGAAAAACACACTACTGTTTTTCATATGATTTTTTGTTTTTAAAATCTGAAAATATTTTTTTAATGTTGATATTTATAAAATTAGTTTTAAGTTTTGATACCTGGCAATTTGAGTGCTTGTAAAACTGCGGTGGGAATCTCCACAACAGAGCTCATCATCATCAACATCGACTTTAGGTGCGGTGGGAATCTCCACAACAGAGCTCATCATCATCAACATCGACTTTAGGTATGTGAGCTAAGTGGGGCCAATATTTGCCTTTCCCCTTTTCACACTTCCTTGTTAGTTTCCGACTTCCCCAGATCGACAACCTCTCAAGTGAGGGAGGCAACCTTTGCACTGGTAAAGATTTGAGCCTAGGGCAACCACTGATAGAAAGTTCTTCAAGAGAGGCGAGGTTTTGAAACAACTTAGAAGATAGCTTCTCCAGATTTCGGAAACCCCCGATACTAAGATAGATCAAAGAGGTGGGCAGCAACTTCCCATCTATCGGAAATCTGGACCCCGCTACACCTTCTTCTTCTTCTTCGTCTTCTTCTTCTTCATCCTCTGCCACGCTAATTGCGCCTGTAATCGACAGGCTTCTAAGAGAGGATAAACTGCGCAAACCAATCTCCTTGAAGTTGTTGTTCCATTGTGAAATATTCATCCCCAGTGATTGAAGAGAAGTGAGGTATTTGATGCTCTGCAATCCGTGTGGTAGGGCCTTGAGTTTTTTGCAGTCCATGATACTCAATTCTGCCAGATTTGTTGCGGAGTGGAACCATCCTTCCGGAATGTACTCCAAATTCTTACACGCAGCCAAGAACAATCGACTGAGATTCCTAAGATTATTATTATTATTAGGAAGGGCATCTGGCAAGTATTTGAGCCTATCACAATCCATGATCAAAACAAACTCAAGAGATGGACAGGTAATTTCCATCCCCTCATCTACTACTAGCAGTGCCTCCAACTTTTTACACCGAATAATCTGAAGCTGTTTGAGTGTGGGTGGTAGCCCCCCACCTCTGCACGATATCAAGCATGTGAGGGATGGACAATCACTAACACCTAACACTTGAAGATTACTGTCATTAATCTGTGTTAAACACCCGAATAAGGATTGCAGAGTCTCACAATCACGTACCTCGAGTGTTTTCAGCGTGCACGGAAAACCTGTCTCCGGAAAAGAGCCGAGACTCGGACACTTATAGACACGCAACTCTCCAAGAAAAGTGAAGCTATGTAGCAGCCGTGGCAGTTTCTCCAGCTTTTCACAATTATCTATTGTTAGATGCTCAAGCCTCCTCACTATGCAGGGGAGTCCCTCTTGTTGCTGCTGCTGCTGCTCATGTTGCCCTTTGTTGTCTTCATCCTCATCTTCTTCAAACAATGAAACAAGCTGGGGGCAGCCTTCAATTTTCAAACATCGGAATGCAGGGAGACTCAGACTGTGTTGCACTCTCTCCTCGTTCTTCCACAATGACTTGAGTTCTTCACAGCTTGTGATCTCCAATGCTTCGAGTTCCATCAGCCCATGAGTGACCCATTTCGGCGAGAGCTCGAGTTTCTTAATCATCCCAATGCTCAAGGAAGTTATTGAACTAGGATGCTTAGACTTTGCATTTGCCGATATCAGTTCGTCATCAACCATGCTCCTCATCTCAAGGACCGCTTGAAGGCTTGTTAGAGGAACGTCATTCATAGCTATAGAGGTGAGTGACGGGTGGACAACCTTGGAAACTTCAACTAGCAATTGCGGGCACTTCTTAATCTTTAGATTATTCAAACAAGGTAGATAACTTGGCAACATTCCAACAAGTTTAGGACAATTTTTGATGGAGAGCTCACTAACATGAGTAAATGGTTCAACTTCCTTATCATCTTCAAAAGTATACCAATACTCCCATTCCGGCATATCCTTAAAGCTTAGAGTCTCCAGTAATTGAAAAGGTTTGGCACTACCCTGCCCGTAAAACTCATGATCGACATGTTTTAGTACACTCATTCCTTTAATGTAAAGCTTTTTGAGCGAGGGTAGTTGTCCGAGTGGTGGCAAGGATACACAATTTCCACAATTATCTAAACTTAGGTCAGCCATATTGGAGAATAGAGGATCTCCTATCCAATTTGGAAATCCTATACCAAGGTAGCCTTTGATATGGAGCTCTTTTAAATCTTTGTGAGGTTGTAGCATGTCAAGCACTTCTGTTTCAACTCTTCCATCTCGTGAATCATCTGAGTTAACACTCCATTCCATTGATAACACATCTAACCCCTCCTTATCAATTAAATTCGCCTCCCTTGCATCTAATGGAACCACCACGTTCTGTAACCCAGATAGGCAAAGCCTCCCCCGAAGATAAATTAAGTTTCCCAACTCTTTTAACCGATGCCCACTGTTTTTAGTAAGAATAAAATTGGATAGTGTTTGAAGACTAGCCAACTTACCTATTCCCATCTTCTTGAAGTTGTTGTTCCATTGTGAAATATTCATCTCCAGCGATTGAAGAGAAGTGAGGTAGTTGATGCTCTGCAATCCGTGTGGTAGGGCCTTGAGTTTTTTGCATCCCCTGATATCCAAATCTGCCAGATTTGTTGTGGAGTGGAACCATCCTTCCGGAATGTACTCCAAATTTTTACACCCATCCAAGTACAATCGACTGAGATTCCTGAGATTATTATTATTATTATTATTATTATTAGGAAGGGCATCTGGCAAGTATTTGAGCCTATCACAATTAATGATCCAAACAGACTCAAGAGATGGACGGGTAATTTCCATCCCCTCCTCTACTACTAGCAGTGCCTCCAACATTTTACACCGAATAATCTCAAGCTCTTTGAGTGTGGGTGGTAGCCCCCCACCTCTGCACGATATCAAGCATGTGAGGGATGGACAATCACCAACTTCTAACACTTGAAGATTACTGTCATTAATCTGTGTTGACCACCCGAATAAGGATTGTAGAGCCTCACAATCACCTATCCTGAGTGTTTTCAGCATGCACGGAAAACCTGTCTCCGGAAAAGAGCTGAGACTCGGACACTTATAGACATACAACTCTCCAAGAAAAGTGAAGCTATGTAGCAGCCGTGGCAGTTTCTCCAGCTTTTCACAATTATCTATTGTTAGATGCTCAAGCCTCCTCACTATGCAGGGGAGTCCCTCTTGTTGCTGCTGCTGCTGCTCATGTTGCCCTTTGTTGTCTTCATCCTCATCTTCTTCAAACAAAGAAACAAGCTGGGGGCAGCCTTTAATTTTCAAACGCCGGAATGCAGGGAGACTCAGACTGTGTTGCACTCTCTCCTCGTTCTTCCACATTGTCTTGAGTTCTTCACAGCATGTGATCTCCAATGCTTCGAGTTCCATCAGCCCATGAGTAACCCATTTCGGCAAGAGCTTGAGTTTCTTAATCATCCCAATGCTCAAGGAAGTTATTGAACTCGGATGCTTAGACTTTGCATTTGCTGATATCAGTTCGTCATCAACCATGCTCCTCATCTCAAGGACCGCTTGAAGGCTTGTTAGAGGAACGTCATTCATAGCTATCGAGGTGAGTGACGGAAGGCTAATGCTGGAACCTTCAACTAGGAATTGCGGGCACTCTGAAATGTTTAGATTATTCAAACAAGGTAGATCCTTGGGCATCATTCCGCAGAGTTTGGGGCAGTCCCTAATCTCTAGATTATTCAAACAAGGTAGATCAGTAGGCAACATTTTAAGAAGTTTGGGACATTTTATTATGGAGAGAGACTTGACACGAGTGAATGGTTGAACTTCTTTGTGATCTCCAAAAGTATACCAATCCTCCCATTCTGGCATATTCTCAAAGCTTAGAGTCTCCAGTAGCGGAAAAGGTTGAACACCACCTTGCCCGTAGAACTCACAACCAACCTGCTTTAGTACACTCATTCCTTTAATGTAAAGCTTTTTGAGCGAGGGTAGTTGTCCGAGTGGTGGCAAGGATACACAATTTCCACAATTATCTAAACTTAGGTCAGCCATATTGGAGAATAGAGGATCTCCTATCCAATTCGGAAATCCTATACCAAGGTAGCCTTCGATATGGAGCTCTTTTAAATTCTTGTGAGGTTGTAGCATATCAAGCACTTCTGTTTCAACTCTTCCATCTCGTAAATCATCTGAGTTAACACTCCATTCCATTGATAACACATCTAACCCCTCCTTATCAATTAAATTCGCCTCCCTTGCATCTAATGGAACCACCACGTTCTGTAACCCAGATAGGCAAAGCCTCCCCCGAAGATAAATTAAGTTCCCCAACTCTCTTAACTGATCCCCATTGTTTTTAGTAACAATGAAATTGGACAGTGTTTGAAGACTAGCCAACTTACCTATTCCCAATGGCATTTCTTCTAAGGAATGTGCATCTGTAGTATCGAGATGACGTAGGTCAATTAGGTTTCCCAAGTATGTTGGCAACTTTTTCAGTTTTCTACATTCTCTTAACATCAATGTTTGTAGATTGTAAAGAGAGCCTAGTGATTCAGGTAATTCTTCAATGGAGGTGTGGGATAGGTTAAGATACCGCAGATGTTTCAAATCTCCAACAGAATTTGGAACTTCTGTGATGCGATATTTACTCATATTGAGCACCCTTAAGTGTCTTAGCTTCAGCAATAGATTGCGGGGAACATTGCTTGCCACATGACAACCCTTGTTAGATTCTAAGGAAAATGGTAAGAAGGTCCGTTTACTAGTACTTGATGGTTGGAAAAAAGACCTAGACAACAATTCCCGAAAGTAATCACCTCCTACATCTTCCATTTGTTTCTCTCTTTTTTGCATAATGAAACCCTCTGCCATCCACAACAAGACTATCTCCTCTTCCTCAAATTCATAGTCGTTGGGTATTATTGAGCAGTATGCAAAACACTGCTTCAAATGCGAAGGGAGATGATGGTAACTTAATCTCAAAGCTGGAAGGATGTCACTTTCTGCGTGTGATAAATCCCATATTTTACTACACAATACATCTACCCATTCCTCATCTCGTTCTTTGCAACGTAAAAGGCCACTAAGTGTCTTAGCAGCCAAAGGCAAACCTTTGCATTTCTCCACAATTTTCTTACCTATTGATACCAAATTTGGATTTGCATCAATACTTCTATTCTCAAAGGCATGTTGTGCAAACAATGACCAACAATCTTCATCTGATAGGATCTCAACGTCATGAAGTTCAACAGTTGCCATCATTCTTGCAACGTCTCTGCTACGTGTAGTCACCACGACTTTACTTCCTTGAGCTCCATCGTTGAAAGGGCTGCTCAAATCATTCCAGTCATTGTATTTTTTGTTCCAGACATCATCTAAAACAATAAAGAACTTCTTTCCGGCCAAAGCCTGCTTTAGTTGAACTTGAGCTTGATCCAAGTTATCAGAACTACATGTCTGGGAAGTGACTGAATCATAAATTGCTTTTGTTATTTTCAGAATGTCAAACTCATCTGACACACAAACCCAGGCTTTCAGATCGAAATGGTTCTTCACGATTTCATCGTTGTATACCATCTGAGCCAGGGTGGTCTTGCCAATCCCACCCATACCCACAATGGGAATTACGTCAACTTTGTTACGGCTTGATTCACCTCCACCTACAAGCAACTCAATTATCTTTCTTTGATCCTTTTCTCTTCCATAAACGCGAGGTTCTTTTAATAATGACGTAGACTTTGGTTTTTGCCAAGTCTTAGTAGGTGTGGTGGTTCCAACAATCTTAACCAAATTAAGTTTCGAACATTGTTCAAAACTATTGTGCAATCTGGTATTGATCCCCTCAATCTTGGACCTCATTTTGAAATTAAACACAACATCTCTTGGCTTGAAATTAGGAATGGGATTCCATACCTTGCTGGAACTAGCTTGGGGCGGCTTTGCCTTGAGACTCTGTCGCAAAGCTTCGGTGGCGAACTCATCCACTAAATCATCCAAATCATATGCCAGATCCTGGAGATCGTCGAGCCACAGGTTCACGGCTCGATCGGTCAGTTGCTTCTCCTCCGCGTCAACTAGAAGAGCTTCAATTTGGCGCAGCATATTGGTCCAATTGCTCAGCTGGGTACCAATACCTTCAAAGGTGGGTAATTTGGAGGACACAAAAGAGGACATCTTCTCAAACAGCAATTTGACTGAGGCAGAGAGAAAGATCCCTTCTATAGGCATTGTTTCCGATTACAGGAGGAAAAGAAAAAAATCAACAGATCAGAAGCAAAGCAAGCAAAGCAAAGCAAAGCAAAGCAAAGAGGTTGTTCACTTTTTTTCCAGTTAAAAAAGCTTCAGCAGTCACAAAAAATGGCTATATTTTTGTGAGAAGAAGAAGAAATTATTGAGTGCTGAGAATAAGTCAAATATGGCATCTTCTTTCATTGGCTCCGGGTCCCTCTGCAAAAACAAACAAATAAATTAAAAAAGGAAAATGTTTGAGGACCCTAATTTCTGTGGTTCAAATGGCTTAAATTTGTCAAAATGACGTCGTTTTGACAATTTTAATGTTGTTTTGTACTCAAAACGACGTCGTTTTGGCAAATTCGAACCATTTGAGTCACAAAAATTAGGACCCTCTATCATTATTGATTAAAAAAATAAAAGAACCCAAGAATAAAAGAACCCAAGTTGATAGTATCCAATTATTTTTTAATATATTTTTAAATGAATTCATATCTCCATCATTATTTTTCGCAGTTGGTAGAAAGTGGCCTTACAAGTTTTTCAATCTTTTTTTTTTATTTATTTTTATATTTAAAATAAAAAAATATTATGAAAAGATGGATCAAGATGAAATTTAAAATTAATTATAAAGATCAACAGTGTAATATATTTATTATATTATTAATCTTTATAATTTGTTTTGAATTTTATTTTGATCTTTCTAATTTTATACTTAATTTTTTCTATTCCAATTGTTAATAACATTTGACGGAAGGACCATCTTGTAACAAAATTTAAAATATAAGGGTCAAAATGTTAAAATTAAAATTATGATAACTAAAATGACACTTGACTTAAATTATAAAGACCAATGATTTAATTAAAAAAAAATTCTCTTTCGTAAGAGATAATTGGGCAAGTATTCTAACATGAATAATGTATGGTAGTACTCTAAAAATACTAAATAATGAAAATTTAAAAATACAATGCAAATGATTTAGATTATTATAATGAAACTCGTAGCCAACTCTATGATTTTGTTTTTTGTTTTGTTTTCTTGTCTTTGGTTGTATGTTGATAGCTTGCCAACCGGTAGCCTTGGATCTTCCTTGGAATCAAGATAGGGAAAGTGGTAATGTTTATTAGGTAAATTAAATTGGTAGTTTTTATATTTTGTTTCATATATCATTTAATGTCAATTAGTATTTTTGAAGTAAAATCGTTAATCATATGATTGAGATTGACTCACTTAGTTAAGAAAATTTACAATTTTATTTTTAAGGAAAATTCAAAGCAAAACCTCTTCAATAAACCCTTGTTTTGTGAAAATGACAGCTTAATTTATTTTATTTCATAAACTCCATAAGAAAAAAATACATAATTGAACAAAGACAAAATAAAATATCTTTTTTTTCTTTCTTGGATAGCATTGCCAAAGTAATATGTTACTGTGAATCAGAGCAACATGTTATTGTCAAACAAAGTAACATATTATTGTTACTATTTACATCAATTTCGACGGTAATAAATTTTTTTTTTTTTTAAGAATTTCATAGTCAACATGGATCTTATTTTATAGATTTTGATAAGAGGATTTTAAAAATACTAATTTTATTAAAAATCGATATCTACATCAAAAGTTATATTATTTTAAAATTTAATATTTTGATAATAGTAGTATATATTAGACTTTTTAAGAAAAACTTTTTATGCTTCTCTTTAATGCATTAAAGTTTTATTATGAGGGGGTTTTGACCAAACCCCCCTATTTTTAAAGATGTAACTCAGGCTACTCATGCGTGCACTTTTCATTAAAAAATAAATAAATAAATAAATAAAAGGAGGAGAAGGAGGTTAATGATTGCTGTCAATTAGGTTAGATTGATACAATAAAAAATTTAAGTTCAAAATTAAATTAATTAAAATTATAAAGATCAAAATGATACCAAAACCAAACTATAAAAATTAGTGGTTAATTTCATATGGTAATGAGTAATGAGACTTAAGACTTGATTTGATTTGGTTTGGTTAATTTTGTATTAATCTTTGTGGAAAAAAGTGTCAAAATTCACAAATTTTTATCAAATGATATTTTATTTCCAAAATAAGAAACTGTAAATGTTTACGAATTTTTTTATTTGAATGATCTTTTAATTTTACTCTAAAAAAGGATTATTCCCAAAAGTAATTATCAAAAACTGTTTATTAAACAAAATTTTCATATCAACTTCCAATTTTCTTTTTTTTTTTTTTTTACCAAACAAAAATGTAAAAAGGTCCAATTATTTAACAGGATTTTTAATTAGGAACAGATCCAAAATTTAAATTTAAAAGGATAAATACATGTACCTTTTCATTGAAAATAAGTATTGTAAAATTTTAAATTTTAATTTATACCAACACAAAAAAAAAATGAATAATATTAGTATTAATTGAATATTCTTTATTAGCATAATTGAAAACAAAAATATAATTAGACATTTTTGGGTAAACTACCAATAAGTCCTAATAGTTAGACTTAATTATTATAAAGTCCTATTGAAAATAAATCTTAATAAAATTGTCGCTAAAAATAATTTTTTTATAATAATTTTTAACATACGTCGCTAAAAATTGACAATTAGTGACTTTTTTTATCATGATTTTTATAAATTGTCGCTAAAATATAAAATTAGTGACCTTTTTTTATAATAAATTTTTTCCATAAGACCTATTGGATAATAAGTTCACTTATTAGGATCTATACATAAGTACTCCTATTTTTTTTTTTATTTACATTAACTTAACAAAAATCTTAACTATTATTATGTCTACTCTCCCTCTATTAAAGTTAATTATCTGAAAACATAAGTTTTTTTCTTCGAACTTAAGAATTTGCTAGTAAAATGTATAGAAATAACTGAGAAACTGCAAAGAAATGTTATGGGCCACATATAAAATAGACACCATTGCTATGATATCTAAGGGAGAGACTTGTTTAATGGTTTTTTTTACTACTTTTATTTATTTATTTATTAATAATTGCTTTATCACTACTTTCTTCTTCTCGTGCACCATTATAATTCACTTCCACCTTATTTTCACACTCCATATTGATGTTCTGTTTGTGAACATCAAAAAGCATAAGAAAAAAAAGGGTTAATTACAAAAATAATTCCAAGATTTCACACGTTTTTCATTTTAAATATCAATGTTTCAATTTCAATAAATTAAATCCTAGAGTTCTATCCATATTTCGATGTGCCCCTTTCGTCGATCTTCGTCTATGTAAGAAAATGGAGAATCGTTTTCGAATTTAAAATAAAAAATATTGGGTTTTAAAATGAAAAATGCGTGAAATCTTAGAATTTATTTTTTGTAACTAACCCTAATATTTAATTTTTTGTGTGTGTATGAAAAACTTACATATCTTATTGTATATGTACATGTGTGCTTGTATTTATGGTGAAATTTTTTTATTCAAATTTTAACTGATACTCTCTCCGTCCCATTTTTTTGGTCCATTATTACATTTTTTTTTTTTGGGTCCCAAAACGCATGTCCACTTTGAAAAGTCAAAAATTTTAATTTAAAAAAGTTCAAAATTATCCCTGTAAAGTAATTATAAATATATTTAAAAATGAAAATAGAAGGGTACTTTTGGAATTAATTATTTAAAATTTGAATTCAAAGTGTAATGAATTTTCAAAAAGGGACTATCAATATTGGACAGACGGAGTAAATTTTTTATTTCATCTCTAATTTTGATGACTAAAAATATGCACTGATAAATGTCACTTACATTTTAGATAGCGTTAATCCATTAAAACACTAATAAGTCTCTCACATTTCAAGTAGCTTTTCTTACATAGTCATCAAAATTATGGACAAAATCAAAATTTTATCATTACTAGAGTCAAAATTTGAATAAAAAAATTGCATCATATATACAAGCACATATATTCATATACAATAGGATATCTAAGTTATATATATACACAAAAATAATAATAAATATTAGGGTTAATTACAACAAAAAATAAAAATAAAAAACCAAAATTTAACGCTTTTTTCTTTAAACCCTAAAATTATTTCCCGTCACCTTACATAGACGAAGATGGACAGAGGAGAGGGCACATTAAAATACGGATAAAACTTCAAGATTAATTTGTCAAAATTAAAATATTGGAATTTAAAATTAAAAACACGTTAAACTTCAGAATTTTTTTCTTTTTTTGTAATTAACCAAAAAAAAAAAAGAAAAGAAAGAAAGAAAAGTACAAATAGAGAAGAAGAAAGTAGAGTGTGAATATAATGGTGGTTAGAAAGTAGTCGCAAAAGCATTTACTAAAAAATAAAAGGGTAAATTATAAATACACTCCTGAAATTTGCTTAAAATATAAATTGTCCCTTGTGGTTTGAAAAATTACAAATATCCCTTATTAGAATTTTTTTATTTAACAGAATTAATTAAAAAAATGAAATTCATAATTACTCTCCTATACAATAATAAAATTACCTAAATTATTAATTGAAACATATTTTTTACACCCAAAAAACTATTAAGTGGGCCTCCTATTGTACCCTAATAAGGACAACATATATTAAATTTTAAATTTTTTTTTTTTTTTTCATAATATACCCTAATCACATATACGTATTATTCATCTTCTTCCACAAGTTTAAATTGTTTTCTCTTATTCTTCTTCCTCACTACAAAATCAAACAATAGATGAAAATAATAATAAAAATCATTTTTTGAAACAACTCATCAAAGATGAAATAAATATTTTCATAAATATAACGATACAATTCTTGATTTATATATATATATATATATTTACGTAACAAACTCATCAAGACCAGGCTCAATTGATCTTATGCCCTTACCCAAAATAATAACACTAACAATTTTATCTAAATACTCTATTATATCTTTAGTCCACCTAGTGGAAGAATCACTGCTATTATTCTGAGAACAGTAGCTTCTGACAAAATTAGGTTTCTTTATTGTAGAAGATAGCCTAACTATATGGAATGCTGAGATGAAATCATTGGGCACATTTGTAGATGAATCAAAACTAAGACCTTTTGTAATGG